CTCTTAAAATCAGAGACTTTTGCATGCTGTAGCAAATGGATTGAGCTATACAAAATTCCAAAAAGCATCTGCCTTGGCATTTCTTGAACCTCATGGCCCTCCATGAGAAACAGACCTTGAAAGAAGCAAAATCCTTTTAAATCTGCATTTGGAGATATGACTGTGGTATATCGAAGACATAACTATCAGCTGCAGAGTAAAAGGCTTCCCAGCATGACACGCAGGAATATTAACATTTCTTATCAGTCACCGTAGCTCTTGCTGTTTAACAGCAGCTTCCCTAAATGGAGTGGGTTAATAGGGGAACAAGGAAAGGAGGACAGACCAAGAAGGAACACCACGGAAATAACCGTGAGTGTAAAGATGAGACACAAAGCTCATGGCTCTGCCAAAAACACAGTGGGCAAAATGCAGGGCTTTGAATCCATGCTGATTTAATAACATGTACTCAAAGATCTAGGCTTTGCTCCCCCTTTAGAAAGGGGGAGAGCAATTCTGTGAGATATCGAGACTCTCTTCCTTCTCCTAAAGGTGGTTTCAACTCTGAATCCAGCACCCATCAGTCCTTCTGCCCTTAAGAATATTCAGTCTCCCTCATTGGAGTAACCTTCACTGACAACCCTTTACAGAGGTACATCGCACTTTGATCTAGTTCTGTAGTGTGGTCCCATCTTCTGTTGGTTCTCCCCGTGTTCCTCCAGCACTGGTCTACACATCTTTGCTAGACTATGAGCTCCTGAGGGCAGGCACCCCCACCCTCCTTCCCCAGTACAGCCCACAATTTGTCAGCACCCTCTCAAGCATTCCCCAAAGCCTGAGCCCAGCAGCCACTCTCCCCTCCTTTTAGAAATTTGAGTAGTGTTCCCCAAAATTTCTGGATGTGAGGTTCTTGGGGAGGGTCTTTACAGATGTGGTTAAGGTGAGGACTGAAATGAGAGCATATTGCGTTAGGGAAGGCCCTAAATCTCATGACCGTACCCACACAAGAGGCAGGGAAGAGGTGGAGACTGGAGTTATGCTGCCACACCTCAAAGAGCACCAGGAGCCAATAGAAGCTGGAAGAGGCAAGAAAAGTTCTCTTCTAGGGTCTTTGGAGGGAACATGGCTGGTGGACACATTGGTTTCGGACTTCTGGCCTCCTAAACTGTGTGGGAATCAATTTCTGCTGTATTGAGCTGCCAAGTTTGTGGTGACTTGTTACAGCAGCCCGAGAAAACTAATACACATCCTTTCTCTGCAAACCAGCCTCCTCCGTATCCACATGGTTTTAGGTTCTGGGAAATCATGTTGAGACCACTAGACTCTGCTCCCGAGTCCCACCACCAGCTCCTCCCAGTGCTGGACACAGATCTTTGCTGGGCCAAACAACATTCCTTCTGTGGGAGTATGGGGCCCCGAAAGGAAAAAATTCTTTCCTCAATCTTCTACCTCACTCAGGTCTCTGCCCAATGCCATCCCATAGACGCATTCCTTGACATTTTGTCAGAATTCTTCTTCTCATGACTCAGTATCCTTTGTTCTTATTATCTTTCTTTGTAACCCTTATTCCTACCTGACATCATTTTTTTACTTCTTCCTTCATTTTATTCCCCGATCTTTCCATAGCAGCACCACTTCTATTAGAGCCCAGACTTGGGCCGCTTGGTTTATGACGGTATTTCTATCCCCTAGAACTCTGTCTCCTGCAGAGTAGCTCTGTACCAAGACAGATAAAGTTCACCTGAAGAGAGATATCACACAAGGGATTAAAAGCTCAAATTCCCTGTCCAAGTTCCAGGTTCCTGTTTCGATCCTTCCCAAAGCCTGGCCATCCTTCTGCCTTTGACTGCACAGGTCACTCTGATGAAATGTGCTTTTCAAAACTGAAGCTAATTCCCATTTTTCTAAAATTCCCATGTTTCTTGTGACTACACAATAAACCAAAAAGAGCCCTAACACATATGGGGCTTCATAGGAGCTCCAACATCTTAGAGGAATAATTACGAGAATTAAAAAATGAAGGACTAAATGTGTAAATTAACTAGTTAATCCATTATGAACCAGATAGGATTAGTCTTAAAAGTAATTAGTACAATTTGAAAATTTAGAAAGCATTTGCTACCTCCTGAATTTATCTTCTTACCACCAACTTTAGAGTCTGAAATTCAATCATTAAAGATTATAGGAATGTTCCATTCAATTTAAATATTCCCAGAAAATGGAAAACGTTAGCCATAACTATTTTAACAGACCTTAGAGAATCAGGCTGTCCTGAATGATGTATAAACTAGTCAGCTTGTGGAAGGACAATGAAAAGAATCAAGGTAAACTGGAAGATAACAAAGAGTAATTTCAACCACTTCTCTCTTTCAGAGACTGTCTTGTAGTCCTGGGGAGTTAGGGATTTTGTATCCATGGAAGACTGTTGGAATTGATGGTGCAGTGAATGGCCTCTCTCAGTCTATTCCTTTTACCATGTGACTGTGTAACTCCTACTAGCAAGGGTTTAGGGTGACTCCTCATGGCTTGGATCTACCTGCCTTGAGTCTTGCTTCGGCCAAAGAATGTGGTAGAAGCAACATGATGCCCTGGCTCGAACGGTCCGTAGACTTCCACTACTTTTTAAAAATCTGCCACTTGCATTAAAACAAGCCCAGCTTACCTACTGGTGAATGAGACACGTGACTCCTCACCATTCCCCACCCACAACCCTGACCAGTAGTCATGGGAGTGAGGCATCCCCGACCAGCCAGTCCAAACTGACCTGCCCATTCATCACAGGAACATGGTAGGATGTTCCTGTGACATTCACTGAGCTTTGGAATGGCTTATCAAATAACAATAGTTAAATGACGAAATACTAAGAGTTCAAGAAAAAGATCCAAATGAAAATAGACAGTGTGGAGCAAGGAGAAGGCTAGAGTTGAAGCCAAAATGGCGCTTGGGGATGGGGGCACGATGAAGAATTACAACGAAGCCTGGAAGGCCGAAGAAACAGAAACTAAGTTAGGGGGAGAGGTAGCAGTGACATAGTGCTTGTCTCCCCTTCTTTCTTGGTTTTGTCTTTGTTGCTGTTATTTGTGTTTTGTTATGTTCTATGTTGCTTTCCTTTTATTTCAACAACTGGATCTATAAAGAGGAGGATAAACTCTGGGAAAGGCAATACACCCTCTCGCCGCTCCCCTCCCTCTTTCTTGTGCCTGCTGAGGTGGGAAGGACGAGAGGTTAGCAAGGAGTCCAGTGGGTGGGCCGGCAGCCTTGGCCCCAACCTCCTGCCCTTTCTCCTTCTTGTTAGCACTGTGCCAGTGTGGTAAGAGGTGAGCCGTGGCATGGTTTAAGATTCTTCTAGACACTTCCGTGAGCAGCCTGTCAGTCGTGGATGAGAACTATTGGTGAGTCGGGCTTCTGTGGCTGAACTAAAAGGTCTCCTCCACCTTCCTATCCAATGAGGACCAGTATCTCCCAGAAACCATGCTGTCTGTTGGTCAGCGGGAGGAACCAGGACAGGGCCCCCCACTGTGATGGGGGAAGGAGGCTCTTTCTTTCTTTCTTTCTTTCTTCTTTCTTTCTTTTAAATAGAAGCTAAAATCATTGTCAGTAACCTCTTCTAATAAATATCCTGGTGGGAGTATTTTTTTTTTAGCATTTTTATGATAAGATTGTACAGTTTTCTCCCCGTGTTTTACTTTGGGACACCAGCAGGGCAGAGGGATTGGGTTAATATTATGCTATAGACCCCAGAACAGATACTACTTGCAAAGCCAACCACTGTTTTCCTAATGCTTCATTTAAAAAGACATTAAAAATATTATGCTCCCAAGAGGTCCCGGAAGCAAAAGAAATATGAAGCATTAGGACAAAAATGAAAAAAAGGAGAAGAGAAAGACTGGGAGAGAGGAAGAGAATCAAAGTCAGCAGATACAGCAGAAATCCATGCCCACATCTTCTACCACCCCCGAGCGTGGTAAGAACCCAGACATCATGCTACAGAGTGCACCCAGAAATGGCAAGTCCCAGGCAGCAGGGGCCCCAGTATAGAATTCCCAGGTTCCTGTATAGAATTTGGGGACTCTTATGGTTTAGATCTAAAATCCTCCCCAGCACCTCGTGAGCTCATAGGCAGGGCCTTCCGAGGGAGACTGGACTACGGGACAGCATAGCTGACTTGATATTTTCAGGCAGGGTTTGGTGAGAAGATGGGGTTCACTGTGGGTGCTGCTTGGAAGGTCTAGCTCCCTTCCTGGGCCCCTCCCTTGACTCTTCTGCTTCCCACCCCGTGACATGAGCATCTTGTCTTCCACTATGCCTGCTCTCTTGCCTGACCATGGACGTTCAATGTGAGCCAAACTAAACTCCACTGAATCGTGGGTGTCAGGTATTGTGTCCCAGAGACAAGAAAGTGACTAAGGCAGGGATCTCCGAGGGCTTTGCTGTTGAGGATGTCAGCAGAAATCAGGCTGTACTGGAGGTCAGATTCTTCCAGCTCGCCAGGACTGCATCCATTCTGATGTGATGGGGAAGAAGCAGCAGGCCCCAGGGTTATAATGAATGAAAATTAAAACACGGCAGCAGTGTGGTGCGGCGCTAGACTGTGGAATGTGACATCCACCAGCTCCCCTGCAGGTCCGCTGTCCCTCACACCTTACTGCACATCTGAGTGAAAATCCTGTTCTCTTTCTTCCTTTGGAATCCAAACAAACTTTCTAGATCCCTGTTCCATAACCCTTCAAGCAAACTCCTCTCTCTGCAGTTCAGTTGTATCTCAGGGGTTTGCAGTAGGGCTGATTCAGAGCATGCCCTTTCTATCATCAGGAGAAAACGAGGTAACAAGTATGTTGGAGACTACAGGGAAATACAGAGTAGATGAGGTGTTGAATTTATAGAATTGATGGAGATCACCTTCGTTGTGTGCAAGGCTTGGTGTCATACTCAAAATCACAGATTGCTTTTACCAAAAGAAAGAACATTGCCTGAAAATAGATGAGATGTCCTTCTGGAGGATGTTTATTTCTTCTTTCCTTCTCTCCTTTAATAAGATTAATGAAATCAAGTAGTGCATTCAAAGAATCTACACAATGCCTATGGGCAGGATAGGAAATTTTGTTGTCATTGTTATTTGTATAAAACAAAAATACTCATGCATCAAACTTCTTGTGTCTCAAGGATAAAATTCATATAAAAAGTACTCCAGCTCCAGCTCCAGGTTAGCAGCCCACTTCATATGCAGTAGATTGTCAGGAAACATAAAGCCCTAGAGACAGAGAAAAGGAGTTTTAAAGAAAGAGAGACATTTCCTCAAATCCGTGGAAATTAAAAACATATAAATTTCATTACACAATTTACCATTGCTACCAACTCATATACTATTTTTAGCTTTATTTTGCCTTTTCTTTTTTTAAAAAAAGTCATCTTGCAGCTACTAAAATATTAATAGGGGCACTGGTCAGCCTCCATCTGAGCTCAGACACCCTGGTGGTCTGTCCCACGCCCCGGGGTCGCAGTCTGTCTCTGGAGCTCGTGCAAGGCTCACATGCAGGAGGTGGTGTGGTGGTAGCCCTTGTCCCTCCACCTGACTTCCATGTGGGCATTAAAAATGGAAAACCAGGGCTGGGAATTTAGCTCAGTGGTTTTGCCGCCTACTGCGCAAGCTCAAGGACCTGAGTTTGATCCCCGGTACCAAAAAAATGTTTTTAAATGGAAAACCATTGGGCCAGGGATTTAGCACAGTGGCACCATGCCTGCTTTGCAAGTACAAGGTCCTGAGTAAGATCCCCAGCACCAAAATGTCTGTAGGGGATGGTGAGAATGTACCACTCTGAGGACTCAGAGTGAAATTGCTCTTCCTCACAGATCTCCCCAAGAGAAACTACAGCTGTGGCTGTGTCTCACTAGAAATACACATCAAAAGCAAAAAGGAAAGTGATGCCTTTGAGCATTAATTTTGGTTGCTGGAAATCTTGGATTACAACCTATCTTTTACGCCACTCCCAGATAACACGTAAGTCTGGTCAACTTTTTTTTTGAGTCTCTATATCTAAGTTTTCTACAACAATATATCCTATAGCATCAAGGATTGCTAGTTACATGGGTGCAGTGCATACCCTATACCATTAAGGACTGTTGCACAGGTGCACTTTGGACAGTGCTCTGTTGGGATTGCCTCAGAGTCAGAATGTAAGAATGGTTTCCCAGCAATGTCAACACATGGTTAGCTGGAAACCTTTTATTCTTTCATTTCTCTTTCTTTGTTTTGTTTTGAGACAGCTGGTTATGCAGCACTTTGCAGTACACCACTGGTTTTAGGGAAGATGAGAAGGAGGGAGCACATGGATGCTTACACAGACAGAAAATCATGGCATGGCAAATGGGAATGAAGGCAGAAGAAAAGAGGTCCACAGAGGATATCCAAAGCAAAGAATGCCATTGCATGCCCCATCATTTCTCAGGGCTGTAGTCTGGTGTGGAGATCCTCAGACTGCAGGAGCCTACCTGTCCCACTCTTGTGGAACATCCATTCTTATGTGCTCCCTTTAAACTTAAAATTTACCAGCCATCTCTGAAGCCATTCATAAAAAACCACAGATTTTGTCAAGCTTTACCCAGATAAAACTTGTATATAACACAATAAATAATCTTGCTAGAGTATAATACCACATACTTGGAGACTGATTTAAATTTTTATGTTAAAAGTTCTTTACCAAGATATACTGGTAGTTCATTTTTTCCTTAAACTGTAAGGAAACTATTCATCTTTGTGTCAGCATATTAGTTTTCAAGTAGAAATACAAGGCCTACCTGTATTTTATTTTAGCTGCTGAGTTAATTGAGTTCTTGAGAGGTTGAAAAGCAATAAACTTCTTCCAAGAAACAGTATTTCACATCATTCACTACTTTAACTGTGAAGGGCAACCTAATCGCTACTGGAGATGACAGGTGTAACTTCTACATCGTTAATTTCCTCCCTTGTGTACTGGAAAGAAAAAGGAACATTTGGGGAAAGTAGGAAGTGAACAGTGCAAGGGAGTTATAGGCCCAAGACAACAATTGTACTGGTACAATCAGACCTTATCTGCAGAACAAAAACAGCCCAACAAAACGCACGGTACACATTTATTCTGAAAATCTTTGGGTCAGATTTCAATTGCCCTACAGTGAGGAGAATAAATGACCTATTGGACTAATCAATGCTTATTTAGCAACCAAGAGCAAACATGGTTCATTTTTAATGAAATGCCTCCTTTAGAGTACACTTCTTTGTAGGATAATAATGAAAGTTGCAAGTCTCTTAGGATGTTTAATAATAACTAAGTTCATCTTCACAGCCTCCGAAATACAATGTGATAGGCTGCATTAATGGCCTTAATTCTTCATTCTCCTATACACACACACCTTTTCCCATGAGACTGAAGTTCTTCCCACAAAATCATTCACTTCCCAGTCTCCAGCTCCTAGTTCACCCTTGCGATTTGCCAATCAGAAAAACAGGCAAAAGTTCTTGCATGCTTCCACTTCCCCTCTTGAGTTTCTATCATCAGGAAAATGAACACTTGAGGTGAACTATATAATTGCTTGCCTGTATAAATTGGAAATATCATAAGTGGAAAATGTCTTTAATGCATCTAACCTACTGAATATCATAGTTCAGCAACACAGTGCATTGTAGAGTGTGGTTTGTTTCCTCTGTGATCTTGTAGCTGACTGGGAGCTATAGCTCACTGCCACTCTCCAGCATCTCAAGAGAGTATTTTAACACATATCACTAGGCTGGGCAAAGATCAACACTGAGAACTTGAGGTATGGCTTCCACTGCTTTCAAACCACTATAAAGCCAGAAAAAATATTAAGTTGAACCATCCAAGGTGGGGACCTTCTAGATTCCCAGTAAGAGGAAGAGACAAATGAAGTAGAGCTGCCCCTGAGAACAGGCTCCAGCCTAGCCCAGCCTAGACCAGAGGCAGCAGCCAGCTCACAGATGCAAGAGCAGGCCAGGCAGGATGAACCGAATCCAGCAGCCCCACACTCAGGCCAGCTACATGACGATCATGTGCCACTGAGTTTTAAGGTGCTCAGTTACTTGCACAAGACAGCTGGCACACATACATATTTGACATTTCTCCCTTTCACGCTTACTTCTTGAAAAGGGAAGAGTTTTACCAAGGATTTCTTGATTAATATACAAGTAATTTTCTATTAGCATTTCCATTTTCCATAGAGCAATTTCCTTAAGAATCAACATTATCATATTTTATGTATCAAGTTTTTGGATTAACTCACTTCAAAAAACACTGACTCAGTACAAGAAACATAAATACATAGTAGGCACTGGGGACACAGAATGGACTAAGCCCTTACAGGCTCTCAAGGCCTGGTAAGGCCAACACAAATGACGAAGGCTATTGCCGAGTGCTTTCCTAAATCTAGCAGTGTTTAATTCTGATTTCTTATGTTGGTTGTATCGGCTTGTAAAGACCTGCCACATTTTTCAAAGCTTGAATTGTACAAAGGGCCCCAGAGATGCTGATATTATCTAATATTTGGAGATTTAACACAGAGACGAAGATGGAATTGAAAAGCAGGGGTCTGTTAAATCCTAGAAGAAAACAGGAAATAATCCATACCGTATTCTTTACACTGAAAGTGGTAGGACTGGATTTTTTTTTAGCTAACAAATATTTTCACAAAATTATCCGCTTCTCTCCATAGCTACAGGAAGTTCTCTTTTCCCAATTTCCTATGGAGTGCTATGAATTCAGTGCGTGATAAAAAAGGAACTGATGTTACTCTTGGAGCTTGGAGTGATTTGAGTAAACCATTTGAGTGAAAGAATGATTTTAAAAAGCCTCTGCTAATATTCTGTGTAAATATGCTCTTTATACTCAAAACCCATAGTAATTACACCAATGACAGAATAACAATCTTAGCGCTTTCTTAATGTTAATCTTCCTTTGTAGATAAGCCTCACAAATTTATTTTCTATAAAAGGATTCTTTTTTAATTTTTATTTCATTGGTACATTTTAGGTATACAATATAATGATATTCATTATTGGAAATTTGCACCTTTATATAATCTCTTGGTTCTTATTTTTCCCC